GCATGAACAGGTGGGAGTTGTCTTACCAACTCTGAGAGGCCAATTAAGTAAGAGAAAAAAAACTTTTGAATTGATAATCTTTAACCTAATAGTGTCCCTTTAAAAATTTCCAGGGCCACAATCCTGGCAGGACCTCACACATGGGTGCTTAGACTCTCCAGGGCAGGAATTGTCTCTTATTATGTGTTTGTACAATGCCCAGCACAATGGGGCCATGACATCTTTTGGGGCCTTTAGGCACATATAATAAATAGAAATGATAGATAATAATGGGCTACTATACCACTTGGAGCCCCACGGACGCCAGTGGGACTCTGCACGTCACAGAGGTCTTCCTGACAACATTCTTTGCAGAATCAAGGCCTTATGAAGGTCATTCCAGGAAAAGTTGTTTTAAGGAACTATCATTTTTCACGCCATGTGCACAAGAAGCTCTGAGCTGATTTCGTAGATGGTTCATACAGGGAAAAAAGGGTATAATATTTCAGAAGCAGTAATGCTGAGCATTTAATAGCTTTCCATGACCAATATATCTGGTCTTGCAGTATGATTTTCCTCAGAATTAAACAAAATGAGGCACATAATAGAAATGATCCAAACCTTTAAAAAAACACCATCTATTTTATTGCTGCATACATATATGATCTGCGCCGTGCTTAAAGTTAGGTATGTGCTTAAGTATGCTGATGAATCTGGGCATTAAACAGTAATTAAGAGCTCCCACTTTAACAGGTAAATGTTACTGTGATATTGCTTAAAGCAGTGGTTTTCAAACTGCGGGTCAGGACCCAGTGCTGGGTCACAGAACATAAGGCACTGTGTCGCGGAACGTAAGGCACTGGGTCACGGCGGCTCTGTTAAAAGTCCCATTGGCGGTGCTGCCCGGCTAAGGCAGTCTAGTTCCTACCTGTTCTGACACTGCACTGCGCCCTGGAAGCAGTCAGCAGCAGGTCCAGCTCCTAGGCAGGAGGGTCCCGCCTCGAGCACCAGCTCTGCACTCCCATATACTGGGAACAGGTCAATGGGAGCTGGAGGGGGCGGTGCCTGCATGCTGCTGGCTGCTTCTGGGATGCAGCACGGTCCACGATGCCAGGACAGGCAGGAAGTCTGCCTTAGCACTCCTGCTACGCCGCTGACTGGGAGCCGCCTGAGGTAAGCCTGCACCCCAATCTCCTGCCCCATCCCTGAGCCCTCCCCCAAACCCAGAGCCCCTTGCTGCACCCCAAGCCCTTCATTCCCAGCCCCACCCCAGAGCCTGCACCCCCAGCCCAGAACCCTGACCCCCTCCAGCCCTGAATCCCCCCAAACCCAGAGCCCTCTCCTGTACCTCAAACCCCTCATCCCCTGACCCACCCCAAAGCCCCCTCCCACACCCTGAACCCCTCATTCCCGGCCCCACCCCATAGCCCTCACCCCTGCACCCCAACCCTCTGACCTAGCCCTGAGCCCCTCCCACACCCCAAACCCCTCATCCCCAGCTCCGTTGGGTTGCAGGCATCAACAATTTTCTTCAACTGGGTCGCCAGAAAAAAAGTTTGAAAACCACTGGTTTAAAGGACTCTGCTAAGCTCTCATATATAGGTTCACAGATTTCAAAGCTAGCAGGGACCATTGTGTTATATAGCCTGACCTCCTGCATAACACAAGTCATAGAACTTCTGCCAAAATAATTCCTAGAGCAGATCACATATGAAGAGCATGAAAACAAAGCTCCAGAAAGGATGTGGAAGAGTCTTAGTTTGACTAATTATTCTGCAAAAATGAAGCTGGCACGATCATAAACTCACATGGCGGCTTGCACTGAAACATAATTACTGCTTCCTTTACAAAGGCTCAACATATTGATTTATTTAGGGTGACCAGATGTCCCAATTTTAGAGGGACAGTCCCGATTTTTGGGTCTTTTTCTTATATAGGCTCCTATTACCGCCCATTCCCGTCCCGATTTTTCACACTTGCTGTCCGGTCACCCTAGAGCTATTCCAGCTCACAACGGGCAGAAATCAGAGAATCTTGCATAACAGAATTTTACATTAACTCTGGGATACATTAACCACACATGCTCCAGATCTGGCATGCTTTCATTAAAGTGAAATAACATTATTCCGAAACTCAAAGATAAGTGAAACATCTCAAGATAAGCCATTAGAGGAAATAAAGAGGAAGAAATGATGGCCAAAATACTAATAGGTGACTGTGACAGGGTTCTAAGCAGAAAACTGTCACTGCAGCTCCAATTAAGGGAGGTGAATTGGAGCTGGGTAGACCACCTGGCCCTTATTGGGAAAGTTTGAACAGCTGCTGCCTCATCAGGCTGGGGCTGGATAAGAGCCCCAAAGGAAGGAAGGTGGGAGAGCTGGAAAGAGGGAAGCTGCAATAGAGGAAAGGTAGTGAGGGGGAAGCAGAGAGAGATAGCTTGCCCCCGCTCTCCTGCCAGTGGACTGCAAGAAGGGGATTACTTGTATGGTGGAAAGGTGGTGGGAGCACAGCCTGTAAATAAAAGCACCAGGTGTGCACTACACCTAAAGGTCTCTGTGTGACGTTCTCACCCCAGCGGGGGCAGGAGCCGGGGGGGGCCCTGCAGGGACGCTGTTACAGTGACATATGTTAAAGTAACTATTGTGATAGAAAAAACATAGAAATACATCCGCTTGCTTCCCCAGCCCTTACATAGGCAAACCTCCCACGTATGCCACTGGGGTCCTGCAGGACGGAACCCTCCATTACTACGATTCCAAAGATCTAACTCATCCAGTGGGCTTTGCAGGGGGAGCTTTGCAAACATCTTAAATGGAATTTGTGATCAACAGGAGACTGCTAAACTTGAATTATAGTTCTAGCTCTGACTAGGAAAGCCTATCACTGTATTATTATACAGTGTATGAAATAGGGATTTTTAAAGTATTTAACCCACAAGTCGGTTTAAACATAAAAGCAGTCATGCAAGAGGAGAAGATTTACAGAGCATGACAAAAGAGAGGAAAGATTGCGGAATATGTAGTGCCAGCAGATGAAGACGAATGGAAAAGAAAATTCATATTTATTGTAGGAGTAATTTTTCTTTTGCAATGCTGCTGTGTTTTATAGAAGGGCTGCTGCCTGGTTACGTAGCTGAATTTCATAATCAAGCTGAAATGGCATTCTTTATCTGGAGTAAAAAA